GCGACGGTGGCCAATCTCTTGGTGATTGGAGTTAATTAAGGGGAGGAAAAGAGGCATTGTGGTCGTTTCTTGTGTGTATGTGTGTGTGTGTGTGTGTGTGTGTGTGTGTGTGTGTGTGTGTGTGTGTGTGTGTGTGTGTGTGTGTGTGTGTGTGTCTGTGTGTGTGTGTGTGTGTCTGTGTGTGTGTGTGTGTGTGTGTGTGTGTGTGTGTGTGTGTGTGTCTGTGTGTGTGTATGTGTGTGTGTGTGTGTGTGTGTATGTGTGTGTGTGTGTGTGTGTGTGTGTGTGTGTGTGTGTGTGTGTGTGTCTGTGTGCGTGTCTGTGTGTCTGTGTGTGTGTGTGTGTGTGTCTGTGTGTGTGTGTGTGTGTGTGTGTGTGTGTGTGTGTGTATGTATGTTTGTGTGTGTGTTTGTGTGTGTGTTGTGTGTGTGTGTGTGTGTGTGTGTGAGTGTGTGTGTGTGTGTGTGTGTGTGTGTGTGTGTGTGTGTGTGTGTGTGTGTGTCTGTGTGTGTGTGTATGTGCGCGTGTGTGTGTGTGTGTGTGTGTGTGTGTGTGTGTGTGTATGTGTGTATGTGTGTGTGTGTCTGTGTGTGTGTCTCTGTGTGTGTCTTTGTGTGTGTCTGTACTCACCTAATTGTGGTTGCAGGGGTCGAGACTCAGCTCCTGGCCCCGCCTCTTCACTAATCGCTACTAGGTCCTCTCCCTCTCTGCTTCCTGAGCTTTGTCATACCTCTTCTTAAAACTATGTATGGTTCCTGCCTCCACTACTTCACTTGCTAGGCTATTCCATTTCCTGACGACTCTATGACTGAAGAAATACTTCCTAACGTCCCTGTGACTCGTCTGAGTCTTCAGCTTCCAATTGTGACCCCTTGTTTCTGTGTCCCCTCTCTGGAACATCCTGTCTCTCTTCTGTATGCTGCAGCAGTTATTTGGTTGATGTGTACCTCCGGTGACGTGCTCAGTGTTATGGTCACCCCAAGGTCTTTCTCCCTGAGTGAGGTCTGTAGTCTTTGTCCACCTAGCCTATACTCTGTTTGCGGTCTTCTTTGCCCCTCCCCAATCTTCATGACTTTGCATTTGGCAGGGTTGAATTCGAGAAGCCAGTTTCTGGACCACATGTCCAGCCTGTCCAGGTCTCTTTGCAGTCCTGCCTCATCCTCATCCGATTTAATTCTTCTCATCAGTTTCACATCATCCGCGAATAGGGACACTTCAGAGTCTATTCCTTCCATCATGTCGTTCGCATATATCAAAAATAGCACTGGTCCTGGAACTGATCCCTGTGGGACCCCGGTCGTCACAGGTATTCCCTGATCCATTGCAGTGCTCTCCCTGTTATACGCGCCTGATCCCCCAGCTTCTGCACTAATCTCTTGTGAGGAACTGTGTCAAAGGCCTTCCTGCAGTCCAGGAAAATGCAATCAACCCACCCCTCTCTCTCGTGTCTTACTTCTGTTACCTTGTCATAGAACTCCAGAAGGTTTGTGACAGGATTTGCTTTCCATGAATCCATGCTGGTTTTCATTGATAATCTTGTTCCGTTCCAGGTGTTCCACCACTTTCATCCTGATAATCTTCTCCATGACTTTGCATACTATACATGTCAGAGTCACTGGTCTGTAGTTTAGTGCCTAGTTTCTATCTCCTTTCTTAAATATGGGGACTACATTTGCCGTCTTCCATATCTCAGGTAGTTGCCTAGTTTCAAGGGATGTGTTGAAGATTGTGGTTAGGGGCATGCACAGCATCTCTGCTGTGTGTGTGTGTGTGTGTGTGTGTGTGTGTGTGTGTGTGTGTGTGTGTGTGTGTGTGTGTGTGTGTGTGTGTGTGTGTGTGTGTGTGTGTGTGTGTGTGTCTTTCCATCAGTATCCCAGATTGATGGAATGAACACATCAACTTCAGACTGAAGGACAGATTACCTCAAAGTAACTCTGATCTTCCAATGTTCTTCTCTGTATTGGACTGAGGAAGGCACTGACTGGGGAAACCTTTCGACACTAATCATAACCAAGTTGTCGGTTCTCTGAACCGCTTATCCAGAGACAGTAACCCAGCCAGGTAGACTTAAGGAAACCCAGACAACCTTGACGTGAAGATCGTCTGCTCTGGGAGGGAATGGTTGATTTAGAGAAGGACCTGCCCAGTTTGGGCCAGTAGGCCTGCTGCCTGGATATGTAATTTAAGAGTTAAATAGTACGCACCAGGTGACGCTCAAGTCTCATATACACAAAAGATACATCGTTCTGCGCGTGTCTTACTCATCAAGCCACTAGGTTTTATGTATTTTGAAAAAGGAGAAAAATCGACTTATTTTCCCGATGAAAGCAAATTTTTCCCCTGGATTCTCACCCCTTCAATCCGCTGTGATTTGAGCGGTCGCTCGTGCGGGACACGATGGTCAAAGTTTGCTTTGCCAGACCCAGGAATACATCACAGCGAGAGATTACCTTAATTAACTCCTTGTTGTGGGTACCTCGGCGGGGTGAGAGAAGAGGTTCGTTACCTTCAGCACCTCGTGAAGCTCTCGTTACTGCAGCGGGAGCAGCCTCGCAAGTGTAGCTTACTCCGGGAGACTCCTACGACGCTCTTACATTCTTTTCTCGTTGCAAGAGTGACATTATTCACTACTTCTGAAGACCCTTTGTACTGCTCGCACCTGCTGGAACCTACACCTTTCTTTATTACTACTAAGACTCGACCCCTGCAACCACAAATAGGTGAGTTCACGCACGCACACACACACACACACACACACATGAGCACAGAAACAAGGGGTCACAATTGGAAGCTGAAGACTTAGATGAGTCAAAGGGATGTTAGGAAGTATTTCTTCAGTCATAGTTATCAGGAAGTGGAACAGCCTAGAAAGTGACGTAGTGGAGGCAGGAACCATACATAGTTTTAAGACGAGGTCTGATAAAGCTCATGGAGCAGGGAGAGAGAGAACCCAGTAGCAATCAGTGAAGAGGCAGGGCCAGGAGCTATGAGTCGACCCCTGCAACCACAAATAGGTGAGTACACACACACACGCACACACACACACACACACACACACACACACACACACACACACACACACACACACACACACACACACACACACACACACACGAGACAGCCAACGCGTCCTTCAAGTATATATATTTTACTCCTAGGACGATGGAGGGCGTCCTTTAAGAGAGGGGAGCCAGTGGGTCTTGCCACAATGCCTAACCTGTCTTCTCCCAACTGAAATAGGATGAACGACGTCGTTCTAAGGGTCAGGGTACCCACTTTCACCGTGTCTTAGTGTGAGAGGAAATGGAATAGGAAATGGGGTGATGATAGATGGATATGGGTGAGGGAGGAAATTCTCGTCTTGCTGATCTCCCTAACACTAATCCCTTACCTTCCAACTCCCTTTACCTTTAAGGGGGGAAGGGGTAGATAAGGGGGTAGGGAAGAACCGTCACACTCAGGAAAACGAATTATTGACGAATTATTATATTCCTCTGTCTGAATGTCTGTTTTTTCTCCCTTTGTCTGCCTGTCTGCCTGTCTGCCTGTCTGCCTGTCTGCCTGTCTGCCTGTCTGCCTGTCTGCCTGTCTGTCTGTCTGCCTGTCTGCCTGTCTGCCTGTCTGCCTGTCTGCCTGTCTGCCTGTCTGCCTGTCTGCCTGTCTGCCTGTCTGCCTGTCTGTCTGTCTGCCTGTTGCCTGTCTGCTGTCTGCCTGTCTGCCTGTCTGCCTGTCTGTCTGTCAGTCTGTCTGCCTGTCTGCCTGTCTGCCTGTCTGCCTGTCTGCCTGTCTGCCTGTCTGCCTGTCTGTCTGTCAGTCTGTCAGTCCATTTCATAGTTTTCATCTCTTATTTTCGTGGTGGTAGTTGGTGATGGTGATGGTTGTGAGTATTAGATGGTGGTGGTGGTGGAACAAAATAACGCCTTACTTAGGGGGGAAGGGGTAAAAAGGGGGGGGGGAAAGAACCTAAAATCGGGAAAAGAAAGGGAGGATATTCACCCGCAAACTGTTCCCCCCAGCCCCCCCCCCCCCCCCCCTCCCCTCCAAAACCCCAAAAACCCCCCCAAAAAAACCCCACCCAAACCGGGAAGGGTTTAAGTTTAATTTTTATTTAGGAAGGGGGAGGGGATTTTTAGGGGAGGGGGAGTGGGTTGAATGCCTAAATTTGTTTTTTGAATAGGTAAGGTGTTTTTGGGTGGGAAAATTTCCCGTGTTTGTGTAGGGGGGAATAGTTTTAAATTTAATATATTAAAAATTTTTTTTCTATTAAATAATTAATTAACCCCTTTATTTTAAGGGGGGAAGGGGGTAATGGGGGTAGGGAAGAAGTCACAAAAAAAAAATTTTTGGGACGAAAAATTTATTCCTTTGAAGTTTTTTTTTCCCCTTTGTCGCCTGTTTTCTCCTGTCTGCCGCTGCCTTTTCTGTGCTCCCCGGGTTCTGCCTGGCCCTTTTCATACTTTTTTTTTCTGGGGTGTGGGGTGTGGGGGGTTGGGGGTTATAGGGGTGTGGTGTATGGGGGTTTGTGGTGTGGTGTGGGGGTTGTGTGGGTGGGGGGGAATGGGGGTGGGGGTGGGGGTTTTTGCTGGTTATGGGGTAGGGTGGTGTAGAGGTTTGGGGGTGTGTGGGGGTGTTTGGTTGCGGATTTTTGGTTACTTTTTTGCTGCTCCCTTTTTTTAAATTTTTTAAATTTTTTTTTATTTTCCTTTGGGTTGTTTTGGGGGGTGCGGTGGCGCCGGTCGGGTTTTGGTATTTTGTGTTGTGTCGGGAAACGGCCTGCTGTTTAACTGAGGGCCCCGTGGTGCGGGTGTGCTGGGTGCAGACTGCTGTGCGCTGCATGCTGCGGGTGCTGTGGGGTCTGGGTCTGTCTGGCTGGTCTTTTGTGTCTGGTGCTGTGCTGCTGTGCTGCTGTCCCCTGTGCTTGCTGCTGGGGGCTGCGGTCGGCCCCCTGCTTCTGCGTGGTGCTACTGCTGTTGGGCGGGCTGCTCTGGGCTGCGGGCTGCCTATGCTGCTGCTACTGCTGCTGGTGTCTCACGCCTGGTGCTACTGTGTTGCTGGTGCTGTGCTGCTGGGTTGCTGCTGGTGGCAGCTGGGGGTGCTGTGTTTTGCTTGGTCTCGGGTTTTGCGGGGCGGGGTGCTGGGGGGGCGGGCAACCCTGCTGTGCTGCTACGTGTTGCTGCTACTCGGGCACGCTGTTGCTGGTGCGGTGGGGCGGTGGCTGGGGCTGCGGGCGCGGTGCTGCTTCCTGTGTTTGGGGTGCTGCTGTTGCTGGAGGTTCTGCTGCTAGCTGTTTTTACTGCTGCTCTGCTGGGGTTGGTGCGGGGTTGGCTGGGGTTGCTGCTACTGCTCTGGAAACCTGTCTGGTGCTGGGGGTGCGGTGTGCGGGGGCGGGTGCTGGGTGCTGCGGGTGTGCGGGTTGGGGGTGCTGCTGGGTTTGGTATTTGTGGTTTTGTGTGCTGTTTTCCCTCAGCTTGCTGGTGGGCTGGTGCTGCTGGGGCTGCTCTCTGTTGCTGCAGCTCTGTGCGCTGGGGGGCTGCTCCTGGCTGCTCTGCTGTGTTGGTGCTGGTTCTGCTACTGCACTGGTGGGGGTCTGGTGCGGTCTGCTGCTGGTGCGGGGTTGCGCTATGCTGCTGCTGCGGTGTTGGGTGTTTGCGGTGCCACTGCGCTACTGCTGGTGGGGGTTTGCTGGGCTGACGGGGCTGTTTGTGCGGGCTGGTGCTGGGTGTTTGGAGGGGCTGGTGCGGTGCTCACTGTGTGGGGTGGGGGTGTTGCTGCTGCTCGGGTGCACGGGCTGTTGGTGCGAGGGGTGCGGTGCTCCTTGCTGCTGCGGGGCGGGGCTGGTGCTGCTCGGCGGGTGGGGTGCGGGTCGGGGCGGTGCGGGTGCTGTGCTGCTATGCGCTGCGCTGGTGCTGTTGCTGCTGCTACGCTGCTACTGCTGAGTTGGTGCGGGTGTGGTTTGGCGCTGGTGCTGCTGCTGCTGCGGTGCTGTCGGGTGCGGTGCTGCTTAGCTGCTAGCTGGTGCTGGGCTGGTGTGCTACGCTGCGTGCTGGTGCGTTGCGCTGCTACTGTGCTACTGCGATTTGGTTGGGCTGGGGGCTGGTGCGGTGCTGCTGCTGGGCTGCTGCGGTGTGGTGCTGCTATGCTGCTACTGCGGTGCTGGTGCTTTGCGCTACTGCTGCTGTTGCTTTGGTGCTTGGTTGCGGGGTGCTGGGTGCTGCGGCTGGGTGCGGGTTGTTTGGGCTATGCTGCACTGCGGGTGCTGGTGCTGGTGCTGTACTGCTGCTGGTGCTGGGCTGGTGCTGGTGCGGGGTGGCTGCCGGCGCACTGTGTTTGGGGTGCTGGTGCGGTGCTGCTACGCGGGGTCGGGTTTGCGGTGCTGGGGGGTGTGCTGCACTGCGCTGCTGCTGGTGTGGTGCGGGGTGCTGCTACGCTGCCCCGGGGGGGTTTTTTGGGGTGTGGTGCTGGGGCTGCTACTGCTGCTGGGGGCGGGTTTGGGGGGGGCGGGTGCGGGTCCCTGCTTGCTTGGTCTGGTGTTGCTTCTGTTTGGGGGCGGTGTGCTTGCTTTTTCGGGTGCTGTTGTGCTGGGTGGGCTCCTATGCTGCACTCTGTGCTGGGCGGGTGCTGTACTGTTTCGGTGCTGGTGGGGCGGGTGCTGCTGCTTGGGTGCTGGTGCTGCTACTGCTGCTGCTGCCGCGCTGTGGTGCTTTTCGCTGCTCTGCTGCTACTGTGATGTTGGTGCTGGTGCTGGTGCTGCGCTGGTGTCTGCTGGTGCTGTGCTGCTACTGCTTACTGGGTGCGGTGCTGGCTGCACTGCGGGGTTGTGGTGCTGGTGCTGGGGCCTCTGGTGCGGGGCTGCTACTGCTGCACTCTGGTGCTGGGCTGGTGCGCTACTGCTGCGGGGGCGGGTCTGGTGCGGTGCTGCGCTGCTGCTGTGGCTACTGCGCTACTGCGGGTGTGGTCGGTGCTGTACTGCTGCTGGTGCGGGTGTGGTGCTGGGGCGGGCTGGGCTGCTGTTGGCTGGTGCGCTCTGCTGCACTGCGGGTGCTGGTGTTGGCTGCTACTGCTGCTGGTGGGCGGTGCTGGGCTGGTGCGGTGCTGGTGCTGGTCTGGTGTGGTGCTGGTGCGCGCGGGGCTGGTGTGCACTGCTGCACTGCTGCGCTGTACTGGGTGCGGTGCTGGTGCTGGTGCTGCTGGTTTGGTTGGTGTGGTGCGGTGCTGCGCGGGCTGGCTGGGGTGCGGTGCTGCTATGCTGCGGGTGGTGCGGTGCTGGTTGCTGCTGGTGCCTGCTGGGCGGGCGCTACGCTGCTGGTCTGGTGCTGGTGTGGTGCTGGTGGGGGTGCTGGTGCTGTGCTGGTGCTGGTGCGCTACTGCTGCTGCTTTTCTGCTGGTGCGGTGCGGTGCTGGTGTTGGTTTTGGGTGCTGTGCGGTGCTGGTGCTGCTGCTGGTGCTGCTGTGGTGCTGGTGGCTAGCGGGCTACGCTGTGCTGCTATGCTGGTGCTGGTCTGGTGCGGTGCGCTGGTTTTGGGTGCTGTGCTGGTGCTGGGGGGCTGGTGCGGTGCTGTGTGGTGCTGGGCTGGGCTGTCTCGTACTGCCGGGCCCGCTGGTGGGGGTGCTGTGCTGGCTGTGGTTTGGGCTGGGGGTCCTGGTGCTGCTGCTGGGCGCGCGGGGGTTGTGCTACTGCTGCTACTGCTGTGCTGCTACTGCTGGTGCGGGTGCGGGGCGGTGCTGCGTTTTGGTGTGGGGGGTGCGGGTGCTTTGCTGGTGCTGTTTTTGGGTGCTGGTGCTGGGGCTGGGGCTGCGGTGCTGGGGGGTGTGGTGCTGGTGCGGGTGCTGGTGTTTCTGTGGTGCGGGGGCGCTACTGCTGTACGCTGCTGCTGCACTGCGGGTGCTGGTGCGGGTGCTGGTGCTGCTGGTGTTGGTGCTGGGCGGGTGCGGTGCTGCTGCTGGTGCTGTGCTGGTGCGGGTGTGCTACTGCTGCTACGTGCTGCTCACTGCGGTGTGGTGCTGGTGCGGTGCTGTGGTGTTGGTGCTGGTGCGGTGCTGGTGCTGTGCTGGTGCTGCTGCTGTCGGGTGTGGTGCTGCTGCGGTGCGGTGCGGGGCGGGTGCTGCTGGGGTGGGGTGCGGTGGGTGCTGGTGCGGGTGCTGGGGCTGGCGCGCTACTGCTGCTACTGCTGCTGCTGCTACTGTGGTGGGTGCGGTGCTGGTCTGCTGGGGGTGCTGGTGTGGGGCTGGTCTGGTGCGGTCTGCGCGGGTGTGGTGCTGGTGCTGGTGCTGCTGCTGGTGCTGCTGCTGGTGCGGGTGCTGGTGCGGGCTGGGCGGGTGCTGGTGGTGTTGGTGCTGGGCGCTGCTGGTGCTGCGCGGGTGTTGGTGCTGGGCGGTGTGGTGCTGGTCTGGTGCGTGCTGTGTGGGCTGTGCTGCTGGTGTTGGTGCTGGTGCGGGCTGCGGGTCGGTGGGGGTGCTGCTGCTGGTGCTGGTGCTGCTGGTGTTGGTGCTGGTGCGGGTGCTGGTGCTGCTGTGGTGCTGTGCTGGGCTGGTGCTGGTCGGTGGGTGGGTGCTGGTGCTGGTGTGGTGCTGGTGCTGGCGCGGGTGCTGGTGCTGGGGGTTGCGGGTGCGGGTGCTGCTGCGGGTTGTTGCTGTGGGTTGGTGCGGGTGCTGGTGCTCTGGGCTGGTGTGGTGCTGCTGTTTGGTGTGGTGCTGTGGTTTGGTGCGGTGGGGGTGCTGGGCGCGCGGGTGCTGCTGCTGGGCGGGTGCGGGTGTGGTGCTGGTGCTGCTGGTTTTGGGTTTCTGGTGCTGGTGTTGGTGCGGGGGTGGTTTGGTGCTGGTGCTGGTGCTGCTGCGGGTTGGTGCTGGTGCTGGTGCTGCTGCTGTGCTGCTGTGGTGGGGTGTTGGTGCTTTTTGCTGGGCTGCTCTGCTGCTGGGGCTGCTGCGGGTGCTGGTGCTGCTACTGCGGGGTGCTGGGCGGTATGCTGTGAAGTTTTTCTCTGCATATTTCATAATTGTGGACAGACGAGTATCGACGCTTCAACCAAAGAAAAATTTAATTTTTAGCTTCCTGGTGTTGAAGAAACGTTGTGTGTATGTGTGTGTGTGTGTGTGTGTGTGTGTGTGTGTATGTGTGTGTGTGTGTGTGTGTGTGTGTGTATGTGTTGTGTGTGTGTGTGTGTGTGTGTATGTGTGTGTGTGTGTGTGTGTGTGTGTGTGGTGTGTGTGGGTGTGTATGTGTGTGTGTGTGTGTGTATGTGTGTGTTTTGTGTGTGTGTGTGTGTGTAGTATGTGTGTGTGTGTGTGTGTGTGTGTGTGTGTGTGGTGTGTGTGTGTGTGTGTATGTGTGTGTGTGTGTGTTTGTGTGTGTTGTGTGTGTGTGTGTGTGTGTGTGTGTGTGTATGTGTGTGTGTGTGTGTGTGTGTGTGTGTGGTGTGTGTGTGTGTGTGTATGTGTGTGTGTGTGTGTGTGTGTGTGTGTGTGTGTGTGTGTAGTGTGTGTGTGTGTGGTGTGTGTGTGAGTGTGTATGTGTGTGTGTGTGTGTGTGTGTGTGTGTGTATGTTTGTGTGTGTGTGTGTGTGTGTGTGTGTGTATGTGTGTGTGTGTGTGTGTGTGTGTGTGTGTGTGTGTGTGTGTGTGTATGTGTGTGTGTGTGTGTGTGTGTGTGTGTGTGTGTATGTGTGTGTGTGTGTGTGTGTACTCACCTAGTTGAGGTTGCGGGGGTCGAGTCCGAGCTCCTGGCCCCGCCTCTTCACTGATCGCTACTAGGTCACTCTCCCTGAGCCGTGAGCTTTATCATACCTCTGCTTAAAGCTATGTATGGATCCTGCCTCCACTACATCGCTTCCCAAACTATTTCACTTACTGACTACTCTGTGGCTGAAGAAATACTTCCTAACATCCCTGTGATTTATCTGTGTCTTCAGCTTCCAACTGTGTCCCCTTGTTACTGTGTCCAATCTCTGGAACATCCTGTCTTTGTCCACCTTGTCAATTCCTCTCAGTATTTTGTATGTCGTTATCATGTCCCCCCTATCTCTCCTGTCCTCCAGTGTCGTCAGGTTGATTTCCCTTAACCTCTCCTCGTAGGACATACCTCTTAGCTCTGGGACTAGTCTTGTTGCAAACCTTTGCACTTTCTCTAGTTTCTTTACGTGCTTGGCTAGGTGTGGGTTCCAAACTGGTGCCGCATACTCCAATATGGGCCTAACGTACACGGTGTACAGGGTCCTGAATGATTCCTTATTAAGATGTCGGAATGCTGTTCTGAGGTTTGCTAGGCGCCCATATGCTGCAGCAGTTATTTGTTGATGTGCGCTTCAGGAGATGTGCCTGGTGTTATACTCACCCCAAGATCTTTTTCCTTGAGTGAGGTTTGTAGTCTCTGGCCCCCTAGACTGTACTCCGTCTGCGGTCTTCTTTGCCCTTCCCCAATCTTCATGACTTTGCACTTGGTGGGATTGAACTCCAGGAGCCAATTGCTGGACCAGGTCTGCAGCCTGTCCAGATCCCTTTGTAGTTCTGCCTGGTCTTCGATCGAGTGAATTCTTCTCATCAACTTCACGTCATCTGCAAACAGGGACACCTCAGAGGCTATTCCTTCCGTCATGTCGTTCACAAATACCAGAAACAGCACTGGTCCTAGGACTGACCCCTGTGGGACCCCGCTGGTCACAGGTGCCCACTCTGACACCTCGCCACGTACCATGACTCGCTGCTGGCTTCCTGTCAAGTATTCCCTGATCCATTGTAGTGCCTTCCCTGTTATCCCTGCTTGGTCCTCCAGTTTTTGCACCAATCTCTTGTGTGGAACTGTGTCAAACGCCTTCTTGCAGTCCAAGAAAATACAACCCACCCACCCCTCTCTCTCTTGTCTTACTGCTGTCACCATGTCATAGAACTCCAGTAGGTTTGTGACACAGGATTTCCCGTCCCTGAAACCATGTTGGCTGCTGTTGATGAGATCGTTCTTTCTAGGTGTTCCACCACTCTTCTCCTGATAATCTTCTCCATGATTTTGCATACTATACATGTCAGTGACACTGGTCTGTAGTTTAATGCTTCATGTCTGTCTCATTTTTTAAAGATTGGGACTACATTTGCTCTCTTCCATGCCTCAGGCAATCTCCCTGTTTTCGATAGATGTATTGAATATTGTTGTTTAAGGGTACACATAGTGCCTCTGCTCCCTCTCTCAATACCCATGGGGAGATGTTATCTGGCCCCATTGCCATTGAGGTATCTAGCTCACTCAGAAGCCTCCTCACTTCTTCCTCGGTTTGTGCACTGTGTCCAACGTGTGGGGTGTGTGTGTGTGTGTGTGTGTGTGTTGTGTGTGTATGTGTGTGTGTGTGGTGTGTGCGTGTGTTTTGTTTTGTGTGTATGGTGTGTGTTCTGTGTGTTGTGTGTTGTGTGTGAGTGTGTGTGTTGTGTGTGTGTGTGTGTGGGGTGTGTGTGTGTGTGTGTGTGTGTGTGTGTGTGTGTGTGTGTTGTGTGTGTGTGTGTGTGTGTATGTGTGTGTGTTGTGTGTGTGGTGTGTGGGGTGTGTGTGTGTGTGGTGTGGGGTGTGTGTGTTGTGTGTTGGTGTGTGTGTTTTTGGGTGGTGTGTTTTGGGGTGTGTGTGTGTGTGTGTGTATGTGTGATTACAACCCAGATTCCAAATGGCCTGTTACCCCAGGGTGTAATGGGAGCAAATAACACAGCGAAAAAGTTTAGACTTATATTATCCTTCACCAATTTAGAACAGCAATATGTACACTATGTACAGTGATAAGTATAGTGCACTCCACGGTAAGCAAGGCAGAAATAGAAGCTCACAAGATAGCGGGAAACCGTGCTTCACAGCTCTAGAATGGAATGACAAGGCAGACAGGAGAGGGTACCTTACATAACCTCTGCGATTGCAAAACATCTTCTATTAGCTAGAACCTGGTCACTAGTTGAACCGACGGGGCCCCATCTATAACTTTGCTACTGGTTCGTGTGTTGGGGAGATACTGTATGGTGGTGTGTACAGTGTGTGTGTGTGGTGTGGGGGTGTGTGTGTGGGGTGTGTGGTGTGTGTTGTGTGGGGTGTTTTTGTTCACTGTGTTGGGGTTGCGTGGTCTGTCCTGGTCTGGTTGTGTAGGGTCTCCCCTGTGTTTTTGTGTGTGTGTGTTGTCTGTCTGTGTTCATTGTAGGCTTCTGTGAGATGTGTGTGTGTGTGTGTCTGTGTGTTTCATTCATTGGGGCCCGTGTGTGTGTTGTGTGTGTCTGTTGGGTGTGTGTGGTGTGTGTGTGTGTGTGTGTGTGTGTGTGTGTGTGTGTGCGTGTGTGTGTGAACTGTGAGATGCTGTAAGATGGAAT